TACACTGAAATAAATGGAAGTAAAAGCAAGAAAAAACTGTTTGGTCCTTCGAGTAAAATCCCTGTCATTCAGAGTCTGCATGGGATCATCCATCCCTTTTCAAGTGGGGAAGTTGCACAGTTTAAAAAATAACTTGACAGTATTATTATAGAGTTGGAGTACCTGACCTGTCCAGTATACCAGAAAATGTTCCCAATCATTCATGACTAGACTCAAGTGAAATGCATTGTTAAACCCGTCAAAATTTTAAGTACTTTTAGTACTGAAGTATTTTTGAAAGCATATACCCCAGTACTTCATCTTCAGTGACAATTTGACAGAGCTACTTTTACTTTTAATATTGACCAGTAGGATCAGTACATTGACTCAAGTAATGAAACAAATACTTTGACCACTACTGCCCTCATTTTCCATTTTGCCTACTTATAAGAGCTGTTTTCCTTTTTGTATTAACATTAAAAACAAGGAATATCTATGTTACAGGAAATAGTCTAGTTCAATTATTCTCGCACTACTGCAAGATTATTCTCCTCTAACCAAAGTGGTAGCTTCAGTCCATCTGTTTACTCAGCTGAGCTCCATCTTGAAGGCCATGAAAAGTGTACTGCAACCGAATAGGTCCAACCTGAGAATGAACCTTCAAGCTGTGTTCCTTAATTTTAAAAAGGCATCAAGTAGCACTAAGTGGCTTCACAGGCAGGACCTTTTTATTACATAAAATTGTATAAAATTGTAGAATCTGATTATATGACAGTGGAATGTTTCTGTTTTTTCTTCTGTAAAATGTATCTACTCAACTCCAAAAATGGGTCCACAGCAAAATAAAAACATTAACAAAACTGTTTTTTTTCTGAATTTTTGTTAGATATTGTGCTTCAACAGTCTGTTGAACCCATCATCATGTTAGAAAACTACTGCCTGCATTGTTGGGCTGCAGAGAGGAAACCACAGCTCTGGCCAAGGCACAGTTATTATACTAAAGGCAAAAAAAATTGTGTGCGGTCAGTCCAAAAACAGGACAAATTCAGTAGAGACTCATAAACATCAATACGCAGAAAAGATGAGACATTAAATGAGATTATTGAGTCTGTTAGTGTGCAGAAATGACCACAAACCTTTATATATTTCAAAGTATTGAGCATTTTATGCTGGGATGTTAAAACTTTTTTAAATATGTAAAAGCACGGAAGAAAACCGATGTTGAGAGAGTTGGAAAAAAACAAAAAGAAAAAAAACAAAAAGAAAAAAATTGTATAGGTCTTCTGGACGGGTTCTTCTCTAATGAAACATTTCGTCTCTCCTCCAACGTTTCATTAGAGAAGAACCCGTCCAGAAGACCTATACAATTTTTCTCTTTTTGATTTTTTACCTGGATTACTGAGATGCATCAGGACATTGAGAGAGTTGAGTTTGCATTTGCTACAGTTTTGAATAATACAGATTTTTTTTTTATCAATAGCTTACAATAAATTTAGTAAAAAACATAATTTCCTCAAATGATCTCAGCTTTAAACAATGCATTAGTTATAAAATGTTAGAAAAATTGCTGAAAAGTTGAAAATAATGTTTTTGTTACCACATGTTTATTGTATATTTTAGTATTTGTTTATTTTTGATAGTTTTATTGTGCACTGTATATTTTCACAAAGATGATTTAAAAAGGAATCTTGCTCTTCCTACACTGCATCACAAAGTGGGTTAAATAAGTTGTGCGAGTGAGTAGAACATGTCTTACTTTGTCGAATGTCAAACCCGGGAGGTTGTGTAAGGCCATCCATGATAAGTCTGAGGGTCTCGGGTGTGGTATCTACTGTCTTGGCCAGTTCTTCAACGCAGCTCGTTTTGACCTTGTTCTCCACACAGAAACGCAGATCTGTGCTCCCAATTTGATCCACAGTCCCACCGACAAGGGTCAGAAATCTAAACAGGAAAAATGTATGTAAATAAATATGGAAGGCACAGCAGTGTAGAAGAAAGTACCTTTCAAAACATTGGCTGTGTCTCAATTCATGGGCTGGGTCCTCATGAGGACCCAGCCNAAGAATACGAACATGTTCTTGCATGAGGCCCAATGCTTCTTCATTTTCCTGTCTTCTGGTCCCCGTCATAATGAGGCAGGCAGTAACAAATTAAATTTACTTCATTACTGTACTTAAGTACAGTTTTGGATAATTTGTATTTTACTTTAGTAATTTTTAAAATTATTTTTACTCCACTACATTTTAATGATAAAAATCATACTCTTTACTCCACTACATTTCTCTAAAGGCTTAGTTACTAGCTACTTTATTGACTGTTTGTTTAGTTTGCGTTTATTTTGTTCCATCGACAGTAAAATTCACACTACACTCCTATACCGTAGGTGGTGATTTGCAGCTTTAAAAGAATAATAATTTTTGTCCTCCTAGTGGTGCCTTAAAGGTAGGGCATAGGTATACTTCCCATGTTTCAACACTGTTGTGGGTTTTGTTTAGATCCTTGTTTAGATCCTGGTTAGACCTTTATAGACTTTTAGTTCCTTTGTTCTATTTATGGATTCCTACCAAGTAAACTTTGTTAAAAAAATCTGTACAAAAGTGTTTTCAGTTTTTGTAACAAATATTTTCAACTCAATGAACTAATACAAATATTAAATAGCTAAAAAGCTTAGCGTGAAATGATTCCCCCAAAGGTTAGATTTAGAGCTCGATTAGTCACTCAATTCGAGGTTCTATCAAAAATGTATAGACTGAACGAGCTCCACAGTTCTTGTAAAGTTGGATAATTAGGAAGGTATAAATTTTAGTGGTGCAGGGGGTAACCAGAGCATTGCTGGTTCAAATCCCTGCTTGAGCGCATAATTTCATTGTGTCCCTGAGCAAGACACTTAACCCCACTTCCCCATGTATGAATCTGTTGGTCTGATTGTGGCGGTCTGGACGGAGGGTAGGTGCAGAATGGCAGCCACACTTCCACCACTGAGTGTGACTGAGGTTTGAAGGAATAATGCATAAAATTGTAAAACGTCTTTTAGCATCTAGAAAAGTGCTGTTTAATGTATTTGTGAAGTCAATTCAAGAAAAAAAAAAAAGTCATGCGTTTCCACACGGACCTAAAAGAGGGACGGACAAGGAAAAAAAAAGAGATGACGGAAGAGAAAGCCACCAAACAAAGAGGACAGGAGTTTGCTGACTTTTGAATCACAGATCCTAGTCAACCTGTGCAAAACTGGATGATCTTGTAGATGAGCAGAGAGGCAGCCGGTTTTTTACCTGCATCCTCTGGATCAACGGTGAACATGTTCGTACACTGAAATAAATGGAAGTAAAAGCAAGAAAAAACTGTTTGGTCCTTCGAGTAAAATCCCTGTCATTCAGAGTCTGCATGGGATCATCCATCCCTTTTCAAGTGGGGAAGTTGCACAGTTTAAAAAATAACTTGACAGTAAAAAACCGGTGACAGAAAAACCCGGAACTGATGAAGGAATAAATTAATTGAAGGATCTTAAAGAAAAAAAAGTTGCTGATCATCTGTTTGCTTCGTGCCTGTGAACAACTGAGACTGATTCAAAGATGGCAGAACCAGCTGATGTCAAGACTGTTGAACAACTAAAGATGGAGAGAACGACAGCAAAGAGGTCACTAACCCGACTAATCAATAACATAACTCGGACGCATGAAGAC